AGTAACAAACTGTTCAGTTTGCTCCCACCTGTGCTCCCACTGCATCCCACATAGATCTGGACACATATATGAGACAACCACTCTTGTGAGAGGCTGGCAGGTAGACTACAATGGACCCCTGCCAGTAAGCTTGGGATAAAAGTACATACTAACATGGTGGTACCACTACAGGATGGTTACAGGCCTTCCCATGTAAGAGGGCAAACCAAACAGCCACCATTAAGGGCTTGGAACAACTCAGTGTCATGTATGGATACCTTTGATGCATTTACAGTGACATAGGCACACATTTTACTGGGCATGATGTCCATAATTGGGCACATGAAAGGGATTATAGACCAGAGATTTCATTTGCCATATAATCTCCATGTGGCAAGGTTTATTGAAACAAAAAATGGCAATTTGAAGACACACAGTGAGTATTTTTGTAATACAGCACATTGCATTGGCGGCAGAAGGTTTTGCTTCAGGCAAACCTTAATTTGGGCTGGGCATGGTGGTTTATGGCTGTAATTCCAGCACTTTGGGAGGCCGAGGCAGGTGGATAACTTGAGGTCAGGAGTTTGAGACCAACCTGGCCAACATGGTGAAACCCTGTCTCTACTAAAAAATTCAAAAATTACCCAGGCATGGTAGTGTGTGACTGTAATCTCAGCTACTCAGGAAGCCAAGGCAAGAGAATTGCTTGAATCTGGGAGGCAGAGGTTGCAGTGAATCGAGATCGCACCAGAGACAACATCTCAAAAAAATGCAAGAAAGCTTGCTGGGCGCTGTGGCGCATACCCATAGTCCTAGCTACTCTGGAGGCTGAGGTGGGAGGATTACTTGAGCCCAGGAGTTCTGGGCTGTAGTGCACTATGCCAATTGACTATCTGCACTAAGTTCGGCATCAATATGGTGACCTCCCGGGAGTGGGGGGACCACCAGGTTGCCTAAGGAAGAGTGAACCAGCCCAGGTCGGAAATGGAGTAGGTCAAAACTCCTGTGCTGATCAGTAGTGGGATGGTGCCTGTAAATAGCCACTGCACACCAGCCTGGGCAACATAGTGAGACCCTGTCTCAAAAAAAAAAAAGAAAGCGCTGGGCGCGGTGGCTCACACTTGTAATCCCGGCACTTTGGGAGGCCGAGGCGGGTAGATCACGAGGTCAAGAGATCGAGACCATTCTGGTCAACAAGGTGAAACCCCGTCTCTACTAAAAATACAAAAATTAGCTGGGCATGGTGGTGCACGCCTGTAGTCCCAGCTACTCGGGAGGCTGAGGCAGGAGAATTGCTTGAACCCAGAAGGCGGAGGTTGTGGTGAGCCGAGATTGTGCCATTGCACTCCAGTCTGGGTAACAACAGTGAAACTCCATCTCAAAAAAAAGGAAGAAAGAAAGAAAAGGAAGGAAGGAGGAAGGAAGGAAGGAAGGAAGGAAGGAAGGAAGGAAGGAAGGAAGGAAGGAAGGAAGGAAGGAAGGAAGGAAGGGCCGGGCGTGGTGGCTGACGCCTGTAATTCCAGCACTTTGGGAGGCCGAGACGGGTGGATCACGAGGTCAAGAGATGGCCAACGTAGTGAAACCCCGTCTCTTTTTTAAAAAGAAAAAAGAAAGAAAGAACAACAAAAAGGCCAGCATGACTGAGGGGAGTCCCAGTTATGGAGGTCAGAGATTCAGTAGTAATTCACAAAGCCATTGTAAGGATTTGTGCTTTCTCTATGTGGAATGAAAAGCCATCAGAAGGTTTTGGGTTGAGTGATGAGCTTTGCTTCAGGTTTTAGAGAGTTGCTTTGGGACCTGGCACAGTGGCTCGTGCCTGTAATCCCAACACTTTGGGAGGCATACTCAGGCAGATAGCTTGAGCCCAGGAGTTTGAGACAAGCCTGGGCAACATGATGAAACATTGTCTCTACAAAAAGTACAAACATTAGCCAGGCTTGGTGGCACATGCCTGTAGTCTCAGCTACTTGGAAGGCTGAGATTGGAGTATCACTGGAGCCCAGGAGAAGGAGGAGTTTGCAATGAGCTGTGATCTCACCACTGTACTCCAGCCTGGGTGACAGAGCAAGACACTGTCTCAAAAAAAATTATTTTCTATATGATAAATAGATTCCAGTTAGATATACAGCTGGAGACCTTGCAGAGAATCAATGGAGTTGGGGAATCAAGTGAGGACTAGAGATGTGGGAGTTCTCAGCATATGAATGTTATTTAAAACCATGGTTGTGGCCGGGCGCGGTGGCTCAAGCCTGTAATCCCAGCACTTTGGGAGGCCGAGGCAGGTGGATCACAAGGTCAAGAGATCGAGACCATCCTGGTCAACATGGTGAAACCCCGTCTCTACTAAAAATACAAAAAATTAGCTGGGCATGGTGGCACGTGCCTGTAATCCCAGGTACTCAGGAGGCTGAGGCAGGAGAATTGCCTGAACCCAGGAGGCAGAGGTTGCGGTGAGCCGAGATGGCGCCATTGCACTCCAGCCTGGGTAACAAGAGCGAAACTCCGTCTCAAAAAAATAAAAAATTAAAAAAATAATAAAACCATGGTTGAGGATCATGCCTGTAATCCCAACATTTTTGGAGGCCAAGGCGGGCAGATAACAAGGTCAGGAGTTTGAGAGCAGCCTGGCCAGCACTCAGAAGTGAAACCCCTTCTCTACTAAAAATACAAAAATAGGGCATGGTGAAACGTGCCTGTAATCCCACTGACTCGGGAGGCTGAGGTAGGAGAATTGCTTGACCTCGGAATGCGAAGGTTTCAGTGAGCAGAGATGGTACCACTGCACTCCAGCCTGGGCGAGAGAGTGAGACCCCGTCTAAAACAAACAAATAAAAAAAATATGGTTGGAGACCAGGCACAGTGGCTCACACCTGTAATCCTAGCATTTTGGGAGGCTCAGGTAGTAATCACTTGAAGCCAGGACTTTGACACCAGTCTGGGCAACAGAGTGAAACCCTGTATCTACAAAAATATTTAAAAGTAGGCTGGGTGCAGTGGTTCATGCCTATAATCCCAGCATTTTGGGAGGCCAAGGCAAGCGGATCACCTGGGGTCTGAGTTTGAGACCAGCGTGGCCAACATGGTGAAACCCCATCTCTACTAAAAATATGAAAATTAGCAGGGTGTGGTATCAGGCACCTGTAATCCCAGCTACTTGGGAGGCTGAGGCAGGAGAATTGCTTGAACCTGGGAGGTGGAGGTTGCAGTGAGTTGAGATTGAGCCATTGCACTCCAGCTGTGGCAACAAGAGTGAAACTCCATCCGAAGAAAACCAAAAAAAAAAAAAGAAATTAAAAACAAATTAGCCAGGCATAGTGGTGCATAGCTGTAGTGCCAGCTACTTGGGAGACTGAGGTGAGAGGATCACTTGAGCCTGGAATTGGAGTTGCAGTGAGCTGTGATCTCACCACTGCAACTTCAGCCTGAGCATTGGAGACCTTGCCTCAAAAAAAAAGGGCCGGGTGCAGTGGCTTATGCCTGTAATCCCCAGAATTTTGGAAAGCTGTGGTCAATGGATCAAAGGTTGCAGTGAACCGAGATCGTGACATTGCACTCCAGCCTGGGTGACAAGAATGAAACTCTGTCTCAAAAAAAAAAAAAAAAAAAGCATACATATATAATATTATAATGCTAAAGCAGGTGATTCTTTCTTATCAACCCTACAAATTACACAAATCGTTCTGCCTTCTCAGGCAACGATTTTTTTGGAATTTGAGAACTAAGTGAAGTCAGGGGTTTGAGACCAGCCTGACCAACATAGCGAAACCATGTCTCTACTAAAATTAGAAAATTAGCCAGGCATGGTGGTGTATGCCTGTAATCCCAGCTACTTGGGAGGCTGAGGCAGGAGAATCAGTTGAATTTGGGAGGCAGCGGTAGCAGTGAGCCGATATTGTGCCATTGAACTCCAGCCTGGGCAATGAGAGGGAAACTCCAAGAAAAAAAAAAAAAAAGCCATGCAGTTGGATGAGATCTCTAAGAGTGAATATAATCACAGAAGAGAAGAGATCCATAGACTAAGTTCTGGGACACTAGACCATCTGCAGGTGTACATCTTGCAGAGGCACATGCACAGAAAGAGAAAGAGATCATTGTCTTTATAGGGAAGGCTGGAGTAAGTATTGAGAAAAATATAATAGATAATTTCTGAAAGGGAGGATAAAAGTTCAGTACAACTCTTTGGTCACAAAGATTGAGAATGACTTTTGTCCAGGTTGGAAGTGATGTGGGGTCCACAGTAAGAGAAGTGCCTGTAAATGGTGGTTAATAAGTAGAGTCTTGGGATACCATGGGACCAGGAAGATGAACCTGGAAGGTTCCTAAGAGTTTAGGGCAGAGACTTGAGGTTAGCAGGAAGTAGAGCTTAGTGGAATTTGAGAACTAAGTGAAAGACACAGATTCAGGATTGCCTGAGAAGGCAGAACGATTTGTGTAATTTGTAGGGTTGATAAGAAAGAATCACCTGCTTTAGCATTATAATATTATATATGTATGCTTTTTTTTTTTTTTTTTTGAGATAGAGTTTCATTCTTGTCACCCAGGCTGGAGTGCAATGTCACGATCTCGGTTCACTGCAACCTTTGCCTCCCAGGTTCAAGCGATTCTCCTGCCCCAGCCTCGCGAGTAGTTGGGATTACCGACACCCACAGGCACCCACAACTACGCACGGCTAATTTTTGTTTTTTTTAGTAGAGACAGGGTTTCACCATGTTGGCCAGGCTGGTCTCTCGAACTCCTAACCTCTGGTGGTCCGCCCGTCTCGGCCTCCCAAAGCGCTGGGATTACAAGCATGAGGCACCGCGCCAGGCCAGGTTGTGGGTTTTGATGGGACCATCTCACTGCCCACGGTTCCCTTTTTCCGTCTGAACAGAAGGGGCCAGAGCAGACAACAGGGAAGTAGCAACGCCGGGTGAGGCGGAATAGGGGTAGTCTACGAGTCCGGGTGACTCCCCATTCCGCGTCCGGGCCCCGCCCCTCCCGCCCGATTCCCTTGGCGCGTGATTCGGGCCCCGCCCCTGCTATACGCCATCAGCTCGCGCCGCGCCGCGCCGCCCCGCCTGGTATTATTCCGCCCCGCAGGCGGGGCTGTCCGCCTCCTGTTGCCATCTGGTAGGGCTATGGTTCTGACCGGTGTTGTGTAAGTTTTGCAGCCTAGGCTCCTGACACTACCCTGGTCCTGATGGCAGCGGCGGCGGCAGCCCTGGCGCCGGCCGACCCCCCTCCCGCGATGCCGCAGGCGGCAGGAGCTGGAGGGCCCACAGCTCGCAGGGATTTCTACTGGCTGCGCTCCTTTCTGGCCGGAGGTGGGTGCATGCCACGAAGACCCAGCCGCGCTCTGGGTGGCGGGGGCAGGACTGTGGGCAAGTGGGATGCAAGCGGCCTCTAACATTCCTGGACTCTGGCCGCTTCAATTCTCTGCTAGATGTTTGCCCTGACTTGCTGTAACCTCTTTCTAGTAATCACTTGACTAATGACAGCCAAGTTATGGGGAGTGGGACCTTTGGTACTCCAGCAGAGGCTGGGGTGGTGGAAGGTCTAAATCAGGCACCCACTCTTCAGGGCTAGGTAACAGGGAAAAGAGGAAGATCCCTTACAAAGACCCTGGGGTTTTAGTGAGACATTCTGGGCACTCCTTTCTTTTATAAACGCCGTAAGTGACCCAACGTAGACTTGGATTTTGCTGTTTGTTTAAAGGAAAACAAATATTGGGGGTCAGCTTTTTAATGGCGACTATAAATTGTGCAAAACTGTTTACAGCCAAAACTGGTTCCAGTGATTCTAGTAAACTGTGCCACAGTACTTGACAAACCCTATTATTGGTGCGATTTTGGGATCAGAAGGTTCATATTGTCTCTTAGTAATTTCCTGGGCCTTCAATCTCCACACTTCCCTTCCTGAATTACTTCTCTGGGTTGTCATCAATTATTTAAGATTCAAAAATTTAAAAATCCCTCATTATACTCGTGCAGTGGCGCCCTACTATAGTTCCAGCTACCAGGGAACTTGAGGCAGGATGACTGCTTGAGCCCAGGATATCGAGGCTGCAGTGAGCCATGATCCCATCACTACTCTCCAGCCTGAGCTAGAAAGAGATTCTCTCCTAAAAGAAAAATAATAATAATAAAAATTCACCGGGCAAGCTGGCTCAAGCCTGTAATCCCAGCACTTTGGGCAGCTGTGTTGGGCAGATCACTTGAGGTCAGGAGTTAGAGACCAGCCTGGCCAACATGATGAAACCCTGTCTCTACTAAAATACAAAAATTTGCCAGGTGTGGTGGCTGTCACTTGTAATCCTAGCTACTTAGGAGGCTGAGGCAGGAAAATCGCCTGAACCTGGGAGGCAGAGGTTGCAGTGAGCAGATTCTATCTCAAAACAAACAAACGAACAAAACCCCACATTAAGAGGAATTGTAGAAAGACAATATCTGAAGATTGCAGCAGTATCAAGTTTTTGTTGTTGTTTTGAGATAGAGTCTCACTCCCTCACTCAGGCTGAAGTACAGCCGCATGCATGATCTTGGCTCACTGCAACCTCTGTTTCCTGGGTTCAAGTGATTCTTCTGACTCAGCCTCCCAACTTGTTGGGATTACAGGAGAATGCTACCACACCTGGCTACTTTCTTCTTTTTATTTGAGACGGAGTTTCGCTCTTGTTACCCAGGCTGGAGTGCAATGGCGCGATCTCGGCTCACCACAACCTCCGCCTCCTGAGTTCAGGCAATTCTGCCTCAGCTTCCTGAGTAGCTGGGATTACAGGCATGCGCCACCATGCCCAGCTAATTTTTTGTGTTTTTAGTAGAGACGGGGTTTCACCATGTTGACCAGGATGGTCTCGATCTCTTGAACTTGTGATCCGCCCGCCTCGGCCTCCCAAAGTGCTGGGATTACAGGCGTGAGCCACTGTGCCCAGCCAACTTTTCTTTTTTTGAGATGGAGTCTCACTGTCCTCCAGGCTGGAGGGCAGTGGCACGATCTCTGCTTACTGCAAGCTCTGCCTCTTGAGTTCAAGTGATTGATTCACCTGCTTCTGCCTCCCAAGTAGCTGGGATTACAGGTATGTGCCACCATGCCCAGTTAATCTTTTGTATTTTTAATAGAGACTGGGTTTCCCCATGTTGCCCAGGCTGATCTTGAACTCTGGACTTCATTTTTTGTTGTTGTATGAAGACAGTTTCACCATGTTGGCCAGGCTGGTCTCGAATTCCTGACCTCAGGTGTTCCGCCCGTTTTGGCCTCCAAAGTGCTTGGATTATAGGCGTGAGCCACCACACCCAGCTTTTTCTGATTTTATTTTATTTTTTGTTTTTGTTTTTTCCTGGACTTCAAAAAAAGAAAAAAAAGAGGTAGGGTGGGTGTGGTGGCTCACGCCTGTAATCCCAGCAGTTTGGGAGGCCTGCGGATCACGAGGTCAAGAGATTGAGCCCATCCTGACCAACATGGTGAAACCCTGTCTCTTGGGTGTAGTGGCCTGTGCCTATAATCTCAGCTACTTGGGAGGCTGAGGCAGGAGAACTGCTTGAACCCGAGAGGCGGAGGTTGCAGTGAGCTGAGATTGCACCACTGCACTCCAGCCTGGCAACAGAGGGAGACTCCGCCTCAAAAAAAAGAAAAGAAAAGAAAAGAAAAAGTCCTGAAATACCACAGGGAAAAAAAAAGAACTCTGGACTTCAAGTTATCTGCCCTCCTCTGACTCCCAAAGTGCTGGGATTAAAGACATGAGCCACCAAACAAGGGCTCAGAATTTCATTATTTTTGTCCTGCTGATAAAATGCCATTTAGGCTGTGTGAAGTGGCTCACATTTGTAATACCAGCACTTTGGGAGGCCCAGGTGGGTGGATCACTGGAGGTCAGGAGTTCCAGACCAGCCTGGCCAACATGGTGAAACTCAATCTCTACTAAAAATTCAAAAAAATTAGCCAGGCGTGGTGGTGTGCACTTGTAGTCTCAGCTACTTGGGAGGCTGAAGGATGAGAATCCCTTCAACCCGGGTGGTGGAGATTGCAGTAAGCTCAGATCGCTCCACTGTACTCCAACCCGGGCAACAGAGCGAGACTCCCTCTCAATTAAAAAAAGAAAATGACATTTATTCACATAGAAAATATTCGACTGGCCGGGCGTGGTGGCTCACGCCTGTAATCCCAGCACTTTGGGAGGCCGAGGCGGGTGGATCACGAGGTCAACAGATCGAGACCATCCTGGTCAACATGGTGAAACCCCGTCTCTACTAAAAATACAAAAAATTAGCTGGGCATGGTGGCGCGTGCCTGTAATCCCAGCTACTCGGGAGGCCGAGGCAGGAGAATTGCCTGAACCCAGGAGGCGGAGGTTGCGGTGAGCCGAGATCGCACCATTGCACTCCAGCCTGGGTAACAAGAGCGAAACTCCATGTCAAAAAAAAAAAAAAAAAAAAAAAAAAGAAAATATTCGACTTACAGCTATATGCCTCCAACTTGCTTGGTATAAATCAGTGAATAGGCTGGGCGCGGTGGCTCACGCCTGTAATCTCAACACTTTGAGAGGCTGAGGTGGGTTATGAGGTCAGAAGTTCAAGACCACCCTGGCCAAGATGGTGAAACCCTGTCTCTACTAAAAATACAAAAATTAGCCAGGCGCCATGGCAGGCACCGGTAATCCCAGCCACTGGGGAGGCTGAGGCAGGAGAATCTCATGAACCTGAGGGACGGAGGTTGGAATGAGCTGAGATCACGCCATTGCACTCCAGCCTGGGTGACAGAGTGAGATTCTGTCTCACACACACACACAAAAAAAATCGGAGAACAAAAGACCTATAGTCAGGCTCAGTGGTTCAAGGCTTCTAATCCCAGCACTTTGGGTGGCTGAGGTGGGCAGATGACTTGAGCTAAGGTGTTGGAGAATAGCCTGGGCAACATGGTGACACCCAGACTGTATAAAAACAAAAATTAGCTGGGCATGGTATCGCCTTCCTGTTGTAGTTCCAGCTACTTGGGAGGCTGAGGCAGGAGAATCACTTGTACCTGGGAGGCGGAGGTTGCATTGAGCCGAAATCACACCACTGCAGCCCAGCCTGGATAAAAGAGCCAGACTTGGGGCCAGGCGCAGTGGCTCATGCCTATAATACCAGCACTTTGGAAGGCCGAGGTGGGTGGTTCACGAGGTCAAGAGATTGAGACCATCCTGGTCAACATGGTGAAACCCTGTCTCTACTAAAAATACAAAAAATTAGCTGGGCATGGTGGCGCGTGCCTGTAATCCCAGCTACTCAGGAGGCTGAGGCAGGAGAATTGCCCGAACCCGGGAGGCGGAGGTTGCGGTGAGCTGAGATGGCGCCATTGCACTCCAGCCTGGGCAACAAGAGCGAAACTGTCTCAAAAAGAAAAGAGGCAATCGTTGTTGGCTAAGTTAAATGCTCTTTGACAAACATGTTGTGTAATGATCACCGCAGTCAAGATATAGAGTAATTCCAAAATATTTCCACTTTTTTTTTTTTTTTTTTTTTTTAAAGACATTCTCACTCTGTTGCCTAGGCTGGAGTGCGCGGCCCAATATCACTGCAACCTTTGCCTCCTGTGCCTGTCTCAGCTTCCCTAGTAGCTGGGACTGTTTATAGGCAGGTGCCACCACTCCTGGCTCATTTTTGTATTTTTAGTGGAGACTGGTTTAGTGTCTGACCGCAAGTGATCCACCCACCTTGGCCTCCCAGTGTGTTGGGATTACAGGTGTAAGTCACTATACCTGGCTTTATTTCCACTTTTCTTTTACATTCCTTTCCTCTCATCTGCAGCCCCTGTCAACTACTGATGTATCTTTATAGTCTTGACTTTTCCAGTATGTTATATAAATTCAGTCATACAATATGTAGCCTTTCGAGTTTAACCTCCTTCACTTAGCTTAATGTATTTAAGATTCATTCACATTGCACATATAAGTAATGCATTTCCTTCTTCTCTTCTCTTTTTTTTTTGAGATGGAGTTTCGCTCTTGTTACCCAGACTGGAGTGCAATGGCGTGATCTCGGCTCACCGCAACCTCCACCTCCTGGATTCAAGCAGTTCTCCTGCCTCAGCCTCCTGAGTAGCTGGGACTACAGGCGCGTGCCACCATGCCCAGCTAATGTTTGTATCTGTAGTAGAGATGGTGTTTCACCTTGTTGACCAGGATGGTCTCAATCTCTTGACCCCGTGATCCACCCGCCTCGGCCTCCTAAAGTGCTGGGATTATAGGGGTGAGCCACCATGCCCAGCCTTGTTCCTTTTTTTTTGAGACAGTTTTATTGCTCAGGCTGGAATGCAATGGCGCCATCTCAGTTCACTGCAACCCCACCTCCCGGGTTCAAGCAATTCTCCTGCCTCAGCCTCCCGAGTAACTGGGATTACTGGCACCGCCACCACGTCCAGCTAATTTTTGTGTTTTTAATAGGGACAGGGTTTCTCTATGTTGGCCAGGCAGGTCTCAAACTCCTGACTTCAAGTGATTGGCCTGCCTGGCCTCCTGAAGTGCTGGGATTACAGGCATGAGCCACCATGCCCAGGAAAACATCTTTTATATGCTTATTGGCCATGTGTGTTTCTTCACTGCTTAAGTGATAGTTCAAATTTTTGGGTAATGGGTGTAACTTTGAAGACTGTATAGGAGTCCTAGTTCCATTTGATAAGAAGAAATGCCATTTGGGAAGTTACATAACCTCCCTGTGCTTCAGTTTCTCTATTCTTTCTTTTTTTTTTTTTTGAGACAGAATCTTTCTCTGTCACCCAGGCTGGAATGGTGTCATCTCGGCTCATTGCAGTCTCTGCCTTCCAGGTTCAAATGATTCTCCTTCCTCATTATCCTGAGTAGCTGGCATTATAGGCACATGCCACCACACCCAGCTAATTTTTTTGTTTTTAGTAGAGATGGGGTTTTGTCATATTGTCCAGGCGGGTCTCGAACACCTGACCTCAAGTTATCAACCCACCTGGGCCTCCCAAAGTGCTGGGATTACAGGATTGAGCCACTGCGCCCAGCCTCTTTCTCTTTTAAAAATTTTTTGGCTGGGCATGATGGTTCACGCCTGTAATCCCAGCACTTTGGGAGGCCGAGGAGGGCAGAATATGAGGTTAGGAATTTGAGACCAGCCTGGCCAACATGGTGAAACTCCGTCTCTACTGAAAATACAAAAAATTAGCCAGGCATGGTGGCGCACGCCTGTAATCTTAGCCACTCTGGAGGCTGAGGCAGGAGAATTGCTTGAACCCAGGAGGTAGAGGTTGTGGTGAGCAGAGATCACGCTGTTTCACTCCAGCCTGGGTGACAGCAACTCTCCAACTAAAATAAAAAATAAAGTTATTTGTATAGAGACAGGTTTTTGCCTTGTTGCCCAGGCTGGTCTCTAACTCCTGAGCTCAAGCAGTCCTTCTGCCTCAGCCTCCCAAAGTTCTAGAATTACAGACATGAACCACTGTGCTCACCCTTCCCAGTCTTAAAATAGAATAAGAGTATTTATCTTAGAGGGCTGTTATAATGATTAAATAATGTAATAAAAGCCTTGGCATAGTGCTTTTAGTTAAAGTGTAGTACCTGCTACAAAGTTGACTCCTTGTTAGCAGTGACCTTGTGCAAATCTCTGTTCTTTAGTTGCTCAATCTCAAAAGGAAGATAAAAGCTACCTGACATAAATCAGTGGAATGTTGAGATGATTAGTTAAGTTTAAGGTACAGTAGTCTTCTGTTATCTGAAGGGAATATATTCTTTTTGTTTTTTTTATTTTGTTTTGCTGTGTTACCCAGACTGGAGTGCAATGGCATGATCTCGGCTCACCGCAATCTCCGCCATCTGGGTTCAAGCAATTCTCCTGCCTCAGCCTCCCGAGTAGCTGGGACTAAAGGCGCGCACCACCATGCCCAGCTAATTTTTGTATTTTTAGTAGAGATGGGTTTTCACCATGTTGACCAGGATGGTCTTGATCTCTTGACCTCGTGGTTCTCCCAAAGTGCTGGGATTATAGGCGTGAGCCACCACGCCCTGCCTATTTTATGGTACTCTACTTACCCTTCTGCCTGTGATGTTGTGAGTTAATAAAATACTTAAGGGATAAGATATGAGGTGAATGACATAGGCGTTGTGATTCAGGGTTTAAAACTTATGAATTGTTTCTTCTTTTCCTTTTTTTCTTTTTGAGACAAAGTCTTGTTGTGTCGCCCAGGTTGCCGTCTTGGCTTACTGCAACCTCTGCCTCCCAGGTTTAAGGGATTCTGCTACCTCAACCTCCCAAGGAGCTGTGATTAGAGGCATGCGCCACCACACTCGGCTAATTTTTATATTTTTATTAGAGATGGGATTTCACCGTCTTGGCCAGACTGGTCTTGAATTCCTGATCTCAAGTGATCTGCCCACCTTGGCCTCCCAAAGTGCTGGAATTACAGTTGTGAGCCACTGCTCCTGGACTTGTTTTTTAAAGACAGGATCTTGCTCTGTTACCCAGGCTAGAGCGTAGCTGTCCAATTATACCTCTCTGTGACTTCCAACTCTGGGCTCAAGTGATCCTCCTGCCTTAGCCTCCAAATATTGATGCACACCACTATGCCTGGCTAATTTTTTTGTCTATTATTATTATTGTGAGATGGAATTTTGCTCTTGTCACCCTGGCTGGAGTGCAGTGGCATGACCTCGGCTCACTACAACTTCCACCTCCTGGGTTCAAGTGATTCTCCTGCCTCAGCCTCCCTAATAGCTGAGATTATAGGTGCCTGCCATCACACCCAGCTAAATTTTATATTTTTAGTAGAGACAGGGGTTTTGCCATGTTGGCCAGCCTGGTCTCAAACTCCTGACTCAGGAGATCTGCCCATTTCAGCCTCCCAAAGTGCTGGGATTACAGGCATGAGCCACTGCACCTTGCAAATTTTTAAATTTTTTTTGTAGAGATGAGGTCTCACTGTGTTGCCCAGGCTGGTCTTGAACTCCTAGCCTCAAGTAATTTTTCCACTTTGACTTCCCAAAGTACTGGGATTACAGGCGTAAACTACTTTGCCTGGCCTATTATTCAACTTTTTATAAGAGTATCATGGCTGGGCGCAGTGGCTCAAGCCTGTAATCCCAGCACTTTGGGAGGCCAAGGTGGGTGGATCACGAGGGCAAAAGATCGAGACCATCCTGGTCAACAGGGTGAAACCCCGTCTCTACTAAAAATACAAAAAAAATTATCTGGGCATGGTGGCGTGTGCCTGTAATCCCAGCAACTCAGGAGGCTGAGGCAGGAGAATTGCCTGAACCCAGGAGGCAGAGGTTTGCGGTGAGCCGAGATCACGCCATTGCACTCCAGCCTGGGTAACAAGAGCGAAACTCTGTCTCAAAAAAAAAAAAAAAAAAAGAGGATCAACCCAGTTTATCAAGTCATTACTACATGTACAGTATTGCAGAGAAGTCTATATTATCACTTTAGAAGCATGCCAACGTAGAAGGGCTGGCCTGGACTCCGACCTTTGCCAAAGCCCATGTATGCACTTTATTCTGCTTTCATCTATACTTCTACCCACTGGCACATGGTAGGGTCCAAGTATGTATTTGCTGAATGTGTAAGTGAATGACTGATTTTATGGGTAAAAGTTGATTGTTTCAATGAAAAATTCATCCAGAAGAAGAGGAGGTTACTTCAAACAGAACCTGGTAGTTGGGTAAATACCTCCAAGTGTCTGTCTCCATAACCACATTTTAGCAAGATTCCCAGTTTCATCAAATATTAGGTGCTGACTTATACTTCTAAACTTATTTTAGTAGTGTAATCATAGTCACTAAGTTACAGGGAATGGAGACCAGTCATCTGCATATCCTTGCAGTGGGTAGATTTTTCTCATGGCGACTAAATTAGAGATCACAGGGTTTGCTGGCTGAACAAATAATGATTTCCATTTTCCTTCTGACCTTTTGAAAATTTTTTAGGTATTGCCGGATGCTGTGCCAAAACAACAGTTGCCCCATTGGATCGAGTAAAAGTTTTATTACAAGCTCACAATCACCATTACAAGCATTTAGGTGAGTTAATAGATGCTAAAGAAAAAAAATGCAAAAAAAAATTATAGATGCTAAAGATAAAAATCAATGAAAATATTTTGGAAAGTGGGCAAAAAAGGGAATTTAAGTTTGAGGGCAAATTTGTTCTTTTCTTTTTGTCTATTTGTCTATAGATTCAGGAACTGGAAAGGGGGCAAATTTTCCAAATTATATATATATATATATATATATATATATATATATATATATATATAATTGAGACAGAGTTTCGCTCTTGTTACCCAGGCTGGAGTGCAATGGCATGATCTTGGCTCACCGCAACCTCCACCTCCTGGGTTCAGGCAGTTCTCCTGCCTCAGCCTCCCGAGTAGCTGGGATTACAGGCACGCGCCACCATGCCCAGCTAATTTTTGTATTTTTTTTTTTTTTTTTTTTTGAGACGGAGTTTTGCTCTTGTTACCCAGGCTGGAGTGCAATGGCACGATCTCGGCTCACCGCAACCTCCGCCTCCTGGGTTCAGGCAATTCTCCTGCCTCAGCCTCCTGAGTAGCTGGGATTACAGGCACGTGCCACCATGCCCAGCTAATTTTTTGTATTTTTAGTAGAGACGGGGTTTCACCATGTTGACCAGGATGGTCTCGATCTCTTGACCTCATGATCCACCCGCCTCGGCCTCCCAAAGTGCTGGGATTACAGGCTTGAGCCACCGCACCCGGCCTAATTTTTGTATTTTTTAGTAGAGACGGGTTTTCACCTTGTTGACCAGGATGGTCTTGATCGCTTGACCTCGTGATCCACCCGCCTTGGCCTCCCAAAGTACTGGGATTACAGGCATGAGCCACCGCGCCCGGCCCAACTCAGTCTGATTTTTTAAATGCAATTAGAGATGGAGATGAAATTTGAAAGTATAAAATTGAAATAATCACTCCTTTAAAAAAATTTTTTTTACAAATGCATTGACTTTTTTTTTTTTGAGTTAGAGTCTCACTTTGTTACCCAGGCTACAGTGCAGTGGCACAATCTTGACTCGCTACAACTTCTGCCTCCAGGGTTCAACCAATTCTTCTGGCTCAGCGTCTTGAGTAGCTGGGCCTTACAGGCATGCATCATCATGCCCAGCTAATTTTTGTATTTGTAGTAGAGATAGGGGTTTCACCATATTGGCTAGGATGGTCTTTATTTCTTGACCTTGTGATCTGCCCACCTTGGCCTCCCAAAATGCTGGGATTACAGGTGTGAGCCACTGCGCCTGGCCCCAGATGCGTTTTTAAAGTGTCATTGTTAGGCCGGGCGTAGTGGCTCACGCCTGTAATCCAAGCACTTTGGAGGCCAAGGCGGGCAGATCACCTGAGGTTGGGAGTTCAAGACCACCCTGGCCAACATGGTGAAACCCCGTCTTAAAAATAAAAGTGTCATTGTTACAAACCTGAATGGATATTTATGCAGTATATTATTTGTAATTCATTTTCTTGCCAATATTTTTATTTTTATTTTTATTTTTGAGGCAGTCTTGCTCTATCGCCCAGGCTGGAGTGCAGTGGCATGATCTCAGCTCACAGCAACCTCTGCCTCCTGGGTTCAAGCAGTTCTCCTGTGTCAGCCTCCTGAGTAGCTGGGATTACAGGTGTGTACCACTTTGTCCAGCTGATTATTGTATTTTTGGTAAAGACGGGGTTTCACCATGTTAGCCAGGCTGGTTTCTTTCTTTCTTTCTTTTTTTTTTGAGACGGACTTTTGTTCTTCTTGCCCAGGCTGGAGTGCGATGGTGCGATCTAGGCTCACTGCAACCTCTGCCTCCTGGGTTCAGGCGAGTCTCCTGCCTCAGCCTTCCGAGTAGCTGGGATTATAGGCATGCGCCACCAAGCCCAGCTAATTTTGTATATTTAGTAGAGATGGGGTTTCTCCACGTTGGTCAGGCTGGTCTCGAACTCCTGACCTCAGGTAATCCTCCTGCCTTAGCCGCCCAAAGTGCTGGGATTATAGGCATGAGCTACCTTGCCCAGCCCTTCCTTATTTTTTATTGAAAAAAAAAAAGGGAGAGAGTAGGTCTTACTTGTTACCCAAGCTGGTCTGCCAACCTGGTGAAACCCCGTCGCTACCAAAAATACAAAAATTAGCTGGGTGTGGTATTGGTTACCTGTAATCTTTGCTACTTGGGAGGCGGGGGCAGGAGAATTGCTTGAACACAGGAGGCAGAGGTTGCAGTGAGCCAAGACTGTGCTACTGCTCTCCAGCCAGGGCTATAGAGTAAGACCCCATCTTAAATGAAAAAGAAATTAAATATGTGTGGGAGCATGTGCCTGTAGTCCCAGCTACTTTTGGGAGGCTGAGGTTGGAGGCTTGCTTGAGCCTAAGAATTTGAGGCTGCAGTGAGCTGTGATTGTGCCACTGTATTCCAGCCTGGGCAGCAGAGTGAGTCTCTACCTCAAAAAAAAGAAAGAAAGAATTAGACCTTTGAACTTACTGAGGGATTATGAAAAGCTGGAAGAAGGAAGTATTTTGTTTTGTTGTCTAAATTGAGGACAAAATGGAGATGAATGGTATTACCCAGTGTCTTGGGGTGCTTTACAGTGACCCTGTATATCAGTGTCTGAACAAGATTCTTTTATTCCTTAACTTCCTCCCTGTGCTGATGTATATTGTTTTGTTTCCTGATTTGTAATCATCAGGTTACATATTCATATTAGATTTCACGCTCTATAAGCCTGCCTGCCATTTGTTATAGCGTATCCCGGTTACAGTATACCATACAAGGTGTACAAAATTTGGAGTGGAATTCCTAGAGTACAACAATGAATTTTTTTTTTTTTAAGATGGAGTTTCATTCTGTTGATCAGGCTGGAATGTAGTTGCATGATCTTGGCTCACTGCAACCTCTACCTTCCCGGTTCAAGCGATTCTCTTGCCTCAGCTTCCTGAGTAGGTGGGATTACAGGCACCTGCCACCACACCAAGGTGATCTTTGTATTTGTAGTAGAGACAGGGTTTCACCATGCTGGCCAGACTGGTCTTGAACTCCTGAACTCAGGTGATCCATCCACCTTGGCCTTCCAAAGTACTGGGATTACAGGCTTGAGCCACTGCAACCGGCAACAATGAGCTATTATAGTAGTATCTGGAGTGTCCTATATCTTTTTTTTTTTTTGAGATGGAGTTTCGCTCTTGTTACCCAGGCTGGAGTGCAATGGCACGATCTCAGCTCACTGCAACCTCCACCTCCTGGGTTCAGGCAATTTTCCTGCCTCAGCCTCCTGAACAGCTGGGATTACAGGCACGCGCCACCACGCCCAGCTAATTTTTTGTATTTTTAGTCGAGACAGGGTTTCACCATATTGACCAGGATGGTCTCGATCTCTTGACCTCGTGATCCACCTGCCTTGGCCTCCCAAAGTGCTGGGATTACAGGCTTGAGCCACCGCGCCCAGCCAATTTTTTGTACTTTTTTGTAGAGGTGGAGTTTCATTGTCTTGGTCAGGCTGGTTTCTAACTCCTGATCCTGTGATCCGCCCACCTTGGCCTCCCAAAGTGCTGGGATTACAGGAGTGAGCCACCGAGCCCGATTAATTTTATTTTAAAATGCTCTTATGCATTTTATTCTAGGTACCTCCCCACATTTTTAGGTGTAGATAGTTTTTTAAATTTTCCTTTTTTTAAAAATAAAAATTATAACTCCTTATAAAACCATAATTTTACTTAAAATTTTTTTTTTTTTTTTTTTAAAGATGGGGTTTCACCATGATGGCCAGGCTGGTCTTGAACTCCTGACCTCAGGTGATCCACATACCTTGGCCTCAAAGTGCTAGGATTACAGGTGTGAGCCACAGTGCCCAGCCTAAAAACAAATTTTTTAAAAAAGTTTTTGAGGGCCAGGCACGGTGGCTCACGCATGTAATCACAGCACTTTGGGAGGCTGAGGCAGGTGGATCACGAGGTCAACAGTTCGTGACCATTCTTGTCAACATGGTGAAACCCTATCTCTACTAAAAATACAAAAAATTAGCTGGGTATGGTGGCACATGCCTGTAATTCCAGCTTCTCAGGAGGCTGAGGCAGGAGAATTGTCTGAACCCAGGAAGCAGAGGTTGTGGTGAGCCAAGATCGCGCCATTGCACTCCAGCCTGGGTAACAAGTGAAACTCCGTCTCAAAAAAAAAAAAGAAAGTTTTTGAGATATAGTTTTACTTTTGTCACCCAGGCTGGAGCACAATGGTGCGATCTCAGCTCACTGCAACTGGGTTGAAGCAGTTTTCCTGCCTCAGCCTCCCATGTAGCTAAGAGTACAGGCACGTGAAACCACACCCGGCTTATTTATTTATTTATAATTTTATTTATTTTTTTTGAGACAGAGTCTTGCTCTGTTGCCCAAGCTGGAGTGCAGTGGTGCAACCTCAGCTCACGGCAATCTACGTCTCCTGGATTCAAGTGATTTTCCTGCCTTAAGCCTTCTGATTAGCTGGGATTATAGGTGTGTGCCACCATGCCCAGCTAATTTTTTTTTTTATTTTTTAGTAGAAATGGGGTTTCACTATGTTAGCCAGGATGGTTTCTATCTCCTGACCTCGTGATCTGCCCATCTTGGCCTCCCAAAGTGCTGGAATTACAGGTGTGAGGGTGTGAGCCACAGCGCCCAGCCTGTGTTTTTTTTTTTGAGACAGAGTCATGCTTTTTCACCCAGGCTGGAGTACAGTGCTGAGATCTTGGCTCACTGCAACCTCCACCTCCTGTGTTCAAGAGATTGTCCTGCCTCAGCCTCCTGAGTAGCTGGAATTACAGGTGCCGACCACCATGCCCAGCTAAGTTTTTGTATTTTTAGTAGATACGGGGTTTCACCAAGTTGGTCAGGTTGGTCTTGAACTCCTGACCTTGTGGTCTGCCCAACTCGGTCTCCCAAAGTGCTGGGATTACAGGTGTGAGCCACTGTGCCTGGACTTTTATTTTTTATTTCTTTTTTCTTTTTTTTTTCCTTCTTTTTTTAAACTTCAAGACAGTTTGGATTTTTTTTTCTTTTCAAACTATTTTTTATTTTTAGTAGAGACAGGATTTCATCATGTTGGTCAGGCTGGCTTAAGCTCCTGACCTTAGGTGATCCACCCACCATGGTATCCCAAAGTGCTAAGCTTACAGGCATGAGCCACCACACCCGGCCCCTAAAATTTTGCTTTTTTAAACATGATTTTTCACAGATGATAAAGATATGCTATTGGACAAAACTATTACTTCTACTTTAGCTTCTTATAAAAAGTGTGACATTACTTCTAAGGCATCAAAGACTTATTTTTATTTTGTCTTTTATTTTAGTAAACTTTTTTGTTTTTTGGTATCAGGGTTTTATTCTGTCACCCAGGCTGGATTGCAGTGTTATGATCACAGCTCTCTGCAGCCTGTACCTCCTGGGCCCAAGCTATCTTTCTGTCTCAGCCTCCTAAATATCTGGGACCACAGGCGAATGCCATCAAGCAGAGCTAACTTTTTTTTTCTTTGAGATGGAGTCTCATTCTGTTGCCCAGGCTGGAGTGCTTTGGCAAGATCTCTGCTCACTGCAACCTCCGCTTCCCAGGTTCAAGTGATTATCCTGCTTCAGCCAACCTAGTAGCTGGGACTACAGGCGTGTGCCATCATGCCCAGCTGATGTTTTGTATTTTCAGTAGAGACAGGGTTTCACCGTGTTACCCAGGATGGTCTACCTCCTGACCTCATGATCCGCCTGCCTCTGCCTTCCAAATTGCTGGGATTACAGCTGTGAGCCATTGTGCCTGGCCACAGAGCTAACTTTGAAGTTTTTTCTGTAGAGGCAGTGTCTCACTATGTTGTCTTGGTTGGTGTCAAATTCCTGGGCTCAAGCTATTCTTGCACCTTGGCCCTCCAAAGTGCTCAGATTATTGGCATGAACCACTGTGCATAGCTGTACTTCTTATTTTTATTTAATTTGTTTTATTTTTTTGAGATGGAGTCTTGTTGTGTTGCCTAGACTGGAGTGCAATGGCATGATCTCAGCTCACTGTAACCTCTGCCTCCTAGATTCAAGTGATTCTCCTGCCTTAGCCTCCCAGGTAGCTGGGATTACTGGCACATGCCAACACACTGGCTAATTTTTGTATTTTTAGTAGAGGCGGGGTTTCACCATGTTGGCCAAGCTGGTCTTGAATGCCTGACCTCAGGTGATCCACCCGCCTCGGCCTCCTAAAGTTCTAGGATTACAGGCGTGAGCCACTGCGCCTGGCCATACTTATTTTAAATTAAAATTATTTTGGGCCGGGCGCAGTAGCTCACTCCTGTAGTCCCAGGACTTTGGGAGGCTGAGGTGGGTGGATCACCCAAGGTCAGGAGATCGAGATCATCCTGGCGAACATGGTGAAACCCTGTCTCTACTAAAAATACAAAAATTAGCTGGGCATGGTGGTGCACGCCTATAATCCCACCTACTCAGCAGGCTGAGGCAGGAGAATTGCTTGAACCCAGGAGGTGGAGGTTGCAGTGAGCTGAGATTGCGCCACTGCACTCCAGTCTGGCACCTGGCGACGGAGTGAGACTCTGTCTCAAAAAAAAAAAAATTATTTTGGTCATATTATAAGGAAGGAGTATATTTTAAATTTCTCCCGGTCCCAATCTGTTTTGTTTTTTTGAGATAGAGTTTCACCCTTGTTGTCCAGGCTGGAATACAGTGGCGTGATTTTGGCTCACTGCAACTTCCGACCCCTGGGTTCAAACAGTTTTCCTGATTCCACCTCCCTAGTAGCTGGGATTACACCATATCCAGCTAATTTTTCTTTGTAGTAGAGACGGGATTTCACCATGTTGGTCAGGCTGGTCTCGAACTCCTGACCTTAAGTGATCTGCTGCCTCTGTCTCCCAAGTGGTGGAATTACAGACATGAGCCATAGAACCTGGCCCCTTTTTTAGAAGTGCTATATCTGCCGGGTGCGGTGGCTCACGGCGGTAATCCCAGCACTTTGGGGAGGCTGAGGTCAGGAGATTGACATGATCATGGCCAACATGGTGAAACCCTGTCTCTACTAAAAATACAAAAATTAGCTGGGTGTGGTGATGCCTGCCTGTAATTCCATCTACTCATGAGGCTGAGTAGGAGAATCACTGAACCCAGGAGGTGGAGGTTGCTGTGACCCAGATCACGCCACTGCTCTCCAGCCTAGCGACACAGCGAGACTCTCAGAAAAAAAAAAAATTCACGACAATAAAATCATTTTTTTTTCTTTTTTTTGAGACGGAGTTTCGCTCTTGTTACCCAGGCTGGAGTGCAATGGCATGATCTCGGCTCACCGCAACCTCCGCCTCCTGGGTTCAGGCAGTTCTCCTGCCTCAGCCTCCTGAGTAGCTGGGATCACAGGCACACGCCACCATGCCCAGCTAATTTTTTGTATTTTTAGTAGAGATGGGGTTTCACCATGTTGACCAGGATGGTCTCAATCTCTTGCCCTCGTGATCCACCCGCCTCAGCCTCCCAAAGTGCTGGGATTACAGGCTTGAGCCACCCCGCCCAGCCTCTTTTATTATCTATCTATCTATCTATCTATCTATCTATCTATCTATCTATCTATTTTGAGACGGAGTTTCGCTCTTGTTACCCAGGCTGGAGTGCAATGGTGCCATCTTGGCTCACCACAACCTCTGCCTCCCGGGTTCAGGCAATTCTCCTGCCTCAGCCTCCTGAGTAGCTGGGATTACAGGCATGAGTCACCATGCCCAGCTAATTTTTTTGTATTTTTAGTAGAGACGGGGTTTTACCATGTTGACCAGGATGGTTTCAGTCTCTTGACCTCATGATCCACCTGCCTCAGCCTCCCAAAGTGCTGGGATTACAGGCGTGAGCCACAGCGCCCGGCCTATTATTATTTTTTAAAATGGGGTTTCACCATGATGGCCAGGCTGTTCCTGAACTCCTGACCTCAAGTGATCCACCCACCTCGGCCTCCCAAAGTGCTAGGATAACAGGCATAGGCCATGGCGCCCAGCCACAATAAAAATATTTTAAGTAGGCCGGGTGTGGTGGCTCATGCCTATAATCCCAGCAGTTTGGGAGGCTGAGGCGGGTGGATCACGAGGTCAAGAGATCGAGACCATCCTGGTCAACAAGATGAAACCCCGTCTCTACTAAAAATACAAAAATTAGCTGGGCATGGTGGTGAGCGCCTGTCATCTTAGCTACTCGGGAGGCTGAGGCAGGAGAATTGCTTGAACCCAGAAGACGGAGGTTGCGGTGAGCCGAGATCGCGCCATTGCACTCCAGTCTGGGTAACAACAGTGAAACTTCGTCTCAAAGAAAAAAAATAAAAAAATATTTTAAGTAATAACATAAGAAATATATGTAGATCTACAATAGCGCTTTGGAAATAAACAGTGTCAGTGTAGTTGACACCCTCTTGGCACCTCTACCTTATCATTAGCCTTCGTGTCTCTGCTAGGTAATCATTGTTCTAAATTTGATCACCCTTTAATTTTTTTTTTTGTTTTTTTTTGAGATGGAGTTTCGCTGTTGTTACCCAGACTGGAGTGCCATGGCACGATCTCGGCTCACCGCACCCTCTGCCTTCTGGGTTCAAGCAGTTCTCCTGCCTCAGCCTCCTGAGTAGCTAGGACTACAGGCACGCACCACCATGCCCAGCTAAATTTTGTATTTTTAGTAGAGACGGGGTTTCATCTTGTTGACCAGGATGGTCTCGATCTCTTGACCTCGTGATCCACCCGCCTCAGCCTCCCAAAGTGCTGGGATTATAGGCGTGAGCCACCGCGCCCGGTCTGATCACCCTTTAATTGTTACAAACCTTTTTTTTTTTTTTTTTTTGAGATGGGGTTTCACTATGTTGGCCAGGTTGGTCTTGAACTGCTGACCTCAGGTGATCAGCTCGCCTCAGCCTCCCGAAGTACTGGGATTAATTACAAGGGTGAGCCACTGCACCTGCCCGGCCGTTATAAACACTTGAATCAAATTAAACAGGACTTACCCTTTGTTTCTGCTTCCAGCAAGAGGAAGTTGTTTTTTTCCCCTCTGGCTGCCCATCTTCCCTGCAGATTGGGAGGAGAAGAGGTAGCCAAGAGGAAGTTTTAATAGAATTCTTTTTTTAAAGCTTTCTGTTACTCTCCTATCCATATTTTGTATCCTCTGTTCTCTTGATGAATTGACACTTTTATTGGTATGAGCTGTTCTTTGCGTTGTTATAGTCATGCGTTTTACTTTTTACATATGTCATAAACTCCAGAATGCATTACCATAATTTTTGTTCAAACAAGCAATTATCTTTTTTGTTAATTTGGTTTTTTGAGATGGAGTCTTACTGTATCACCCAGGCTGGATTGCAATGGAGGGATCTTGGCTCACTGCATCCTCTGCCTCCTGGGTTCAAGCAATTCTCCTGCTTCAGCTTCCCGAGTAGCTGGGATTACAGGCCCAGGGCACCATGCCTGCCTAATTTTTGTATTTTTAGTAGAGACAGGGTTTTAAAATGTTGCCCAAATTCCTGACCTCAGGTGATCCACCTGTCTTGGCCTCCCAAAGTGCTGGGATTACAGGCGTGAGCCACTGTGCCTGGTTGGAATTCTTCTTAACAAAATGTTAGTCCATTTATGTATCTGCTTATTATAAAATACTTTTGGGATATGTCTTTTGGATCTTAATAAGTACCTACAATTTATCCTTCCAGATAGATTGTCTTCAGTGCAAATGTGGACATTGCATATATTTCTGTTAATGTTTTAGATTGCTATAGTTTAATATAATTTGCTATAGTTACAAATCCAATTTGCTATAATTTGTAGCTGTTTCTATGGTAGGTTTTATATTATATGAGGTGTGCTTATTTATATTATTTGGATATATGATGTATTTTTAGTAGGTTTAACTGTTTTATAGAAATTACTATTCATGTAATCCTTAAAGCAAAATTATCCTGAGTGATGGCACAATTATCTTTATCTGTAATTATCACAGATTTAGATAATTTTCTCTTTTTTAACAGCATTTTTCTTCAAAAACAGGAGTATTTTCTGCATTGTTTGCTGTTCCCCGTAAAGAAGGATTCCTTGGATTGTATAAAGGAAATGGTGCAATGATGATTCGAATCTTTCCCTATGGTGCAATCCAGTTTATGGCATTTGAGCATTATAAAACGGTAAACTTTGATCTTTTCTCTTTTGCATTCTTGAATATTATGCACACTTGACCAGGCATTTGCTTTGGACAGTTACAAATACATAAAAGTTTCATAGTTTTAAAAAGTTAAATTTTTTTTTTTAAATTTTTGAGACCGAATCTCGCTGCCCAGGCTGGAGTGCAATGGCATGGTCTTGGTTCACTGCAACCTGTGCCTCCTGAGTTCAAGTGATTCTCCTGCCTCAGCCTCCTGAGTGACTGGGATTACAGGCCTGCGCCACCATGCCTGACGAATTTTGTATTTTTATTTTTATCTATCTATCTATCTATCTATCTATCTATTTATTTGAGACGGAGTTTCACTCTTGTTACCCAGGCTGGAGTGCAATGGCGCAATCTCGGCTCACTGCAACCTCCGCCTCCTGGGTTCAGGCAATTCTCCTGCCTCAGCCTCCTAAGTAGCTGGGATTACAGGCACGCGCCACCATGCCCAGCTAATTTTTTGTATCTTTAGTAGAGACAGGGTTTCACCATGTTGACCAGGATGGTCTTGATATCTCTTGACCTTGTGATCCACCTGCCTCGGCCTCCCAAAGTGCTGGGATTATAGGCGTGAGCCACCGCTCCTGGCCCTAATTTTTTTTTTCAGTGGTGGAGTGGAGGCCTGGCTATTTAAAATAAAAATATTGGCCAGGTGTGGTGGGGTCTCACTGTGTTACCCATCTATCTCCTGGGCTCAAGTCATCCTTGGGCCTTAGCCTTTTATTTTCTTTTTGAGATGGAGTCTCCCTCTGTCCCTCAGGCTGGAGTCCAGTGGCGGGATCTCAGCTCACTACAACCTCCGTCTCCCAGGTTCAGGAGATTCTCCTGCCTCAGCCTCCTGAGTAGCTGGGATTATGGGCGTGTGCCACCACGCCCAGCTAATTTTCCTATTTCTTGTAGAGATGGAGTTTCACCATATTGGTCAGGCTGCTTTTGAACTGCTAACCTTGTGATCTGCCCATCTTGGCCTCCCGGAGTGCTGAGATTACAGGCGTGAGTCCCTGCACCCACCTGGGCCTCAGCCTTTAGTGTGTTGTTACTCAATTGTAGGAGAGGAACACTGTGGCTTTGGATTTTCTTATTAAATAAAATAGCAAAACTGTATTGTGAAAATCTGTTTTGGAATAATGCAGTAAGTTGTTAGCTTTTTGTAGCCTACTCATTCATTAAGTTTCTCCTGTCTGGCTGAGTGAATGTTTATCCTGTCCAACATTATCTCAACATCGAAAGGAGTTAAGTATGTTAAGTTTCAATAGGTATCTTAGTATGAAAAATAAGCAGCAGAGATGGGAACAACATTCTTAGCTAGTCAGCCAGAGAGAATTGATGCCATTTGTTTATCAAGACTTCATTGGCTCTAGTAGCGTTAAAAAATAAATAAATAAAAAGGCTGGGTGGGGTGGCTCATGCCTGTAATCCTGGCACTTTGGAAGGCTGAGGTGGGTGGATCACCTGAGGTCAGGAGTTTCAGACCATCCTGGAAACCTTGTCTACTAAAAAAAAAATTAGCTGGGCGTAGTGGTGTGCACCTGTAGTTCCAGCAGCTTAGGAAGTTGAGGCAGAAGTATGGCTTGTACCCAGGAGGCAGAGGTTGCAGCACTTCAGCCTGGACAACAGAGTGAGACTCCGTCTCAAAAACAAACCCCCCAAAACAAAAAAATCCTGGCATTTTATTCATATTTCCCCAGTCACTTGTTAGTGCTCTTGGTCCTTAATACATTAGTATCATATATTTAGCAATTCTAAGCTAGCTTGCTTCTGCAGAAGTGCAAAATATTAAAGCAGAGACTATAGAGGAAATAATGCCTCGTGCTATGATATAACACTGCCAAGCTGTCGGGAGTCACGGTGGCTCAGGCCAGTCGTCCTGGCACATGAGGAGCCAAGGCTACACATTTGAGGCTAGCCTGGACAACACAGAAACCTCTCATCCATTAAAAAAAAAAATGGCTGGGTGTGGTGGCTCACGCCTATAATCCCAGCACTTTTGGAGGCTGAGGTGAGTGGACTACAAGGTCAGGAGTTCGAGACCAGCTTGGCCAATATGATAAAACCCCCATCTCTACTAAAAATACAAAAATAAGCTGGATGCGGTGGCAGGTGTTTGTAATCCCAGCTACTCTGGAGGCTCAGGCAAGATAATCACTTGAACCTGGGAGGTGGAGGTTTCAGTGAGCCGAGATTGCACCACTGCACTCTAGCCTGAGCGATAGAGCGAGAAAAAAGAAGAAAAATGCCAAGTTTTATTTAATTGTGCTGATTTCATTTACATTTATATATATTAGTCTTGTAACTTTTTTTTTTTTGAGATGGAGTTTCGCTCTTGTTACCCAGGCTGGAGTGCAATGGTGTGATCTCGGTGTGAGCTACTCAGCCTCTTGAGTAGCTGGGACTACAGGCGTGCGCCACCACACCCAGCTAATTTTTGTATTTTTAGTTGAGACTGGGTTTCACCCGGCCAAGTCTTATAATTCTTGAAGTAAATCTTCATTATTAAACAGTGAAATGGGCAGCATTTAAAAAATATCTCATTTAATTCAGTGTTCTTGTTTTCTAGTTTATTACTACAAAGCTGGGAGTTTCGGGTCATGTGCACAGATTAATGGCTGGATCCATGGCAGGTAAGAGGTGTTAGGTATATTTTATTTCTGACAAGTTAATTTTGTATTAAAATACTTGATTTGGTTTAGGTTATATGTGTGGCATTAGGGAAAGTAGAGTTTGCAGGTGTCCTGTGTCTTGTATTTTTTTTCCTGCGTGCATCCTCATAAAAAGATGTATTTTTTAAAAAAGTGTAACATTGCTGGGCGCAGTGGCTCATGCCTATGATCCCAGCACTTTGGGAGGCTGAGGCGGGTGGATCACGAGGTCAAGAGATCAAGACCATCCTGGTCAACATGGTGAAAAATACAAAAATTAGCTGGGCATGGTAGTGCGTGCCTGTAGTCCCAGCTACATTGGAGGCTGAGCCGGAGAATTGCTTGAACCCAGAAGGCAGAGGTTGCGGTGAGCCAAGATTGCGCCATTGCACTCTAGTCTGGGTAACAACAGTGAAACAACTCTGTCTCAAAAAAAAAAAAAAAAAAGTGTGAAATTGATTGAGTAGCACACATTTGTTGCTTTTCTATACTCAGTTACATATGAAATCATTAGTACCCCAACTGGAAAAGAGTCTTTTTATAGTAGAGGATAAGGAATAGTCTCAACTTAAAACTATGTGGAAAGCTTGAATTCTCTTTGACAGTTCTAATTTTGGACATTTTTAAAAATTGAAAAAATGTTTTTGAAGGCTAGTCATGTAACACAGTGGGAGTGGAGACAAACAAAGAAACCTGTAACTTACTGTGATCCATGAGTTTTATTTTATTTTATTTTTTTGAGACAGAGTTTCGCTGTTGTTACCCAGACTGGAGTGCAATGGCATGATCTCGGCTCACCGCAACCTCTGCCTTCTGGGTTCAAGCAATTCTCCTGCCTCAGCCTCCTGAGTAGCTGGGACGACAGGAGCGCACCACCATGCCCAGCTAATTTTTTTGTATTTTTAGTAGAGACGGGGTTTCACCTTGTTGACCAGGATGGTCTCGATCTCTTGACCTTGTGATCCACCCGCCTCGGCCTCCCAAAGTGCTGGGATTATAGGCGTGAGCCACCGCGCCTGGTGATCCATGAGTTTTAAACACCACCGTACCTCATTTGGACTAGCCATTACTTTTCAAAATTTATATTTTTTCTTTTTTTTTATTCTTTATCTTTTTTCTTTAAAAGGATTGTAAAAAATAATGACTATAGTAATAACTACTCCTATACAGTAAAAATAGCTGCGTTCTCTAAGACAACCATGATTAGCCATTCCTTTTCTTCCCTTTTCCTCTTCTTTCCTTTCCTTCTTCTCTCCCCTCCCCCCATCCCTTCTCCTCCCTTCCTCTCTTTTTCCTCTCTTCTTTTTTGAGACAGGATCTGGCTCTGTTGCCCAGGCTGGAGTGCAGTGGTATGACCACAATTCACTGCAACCTTCACCTCCCAGGCTCAAGCCATCCTTCTATCTCAGCCTCCCAGAAGTAGCTGGGACTACAGGTGCATGCCATCACAATGAGCTAATTTTTATTTATTTTTATTTTTAGTAGAGACAGGGTTTCACCATGTTGACCAGGATGGTCTCGATCTCTTGACCTCGTGATCTGCCCGCCTCGGCCTCCTAAAGTGCTGGGATTACAGGCGTGAGCCACCGCGCCCAGCTATTTTTATATTTTCTGTAGAGATGGGCTTTTGTCATGTTGCCCAGGCTGGTCTCAAACTCCTGAAACCTGACCTATTTCAGTTTTTTAAGTATTCATTTTTATGAGTTTGGGAATTAGAACATTAGTTCTTTTTCTGTGAGAGATTGGTAATATTTTATTTCCCAGTTTTAGATTTGACTTGGTTTTATGATTAAAAAAAATTTTTTTTAATTGAAAATTTTTTTCCCTATGCAGAAGTTTTACATGGCCAAACAATGTTCGTTTTTCCTCTGTTGCTTCTAAATTTTGTGTTGTGTTTAGAAATTCCCTCCCCATTCTAAGATAAAGACATTTAGTCATGCTTTCTACTAAAACTATTTGTTTTGGCATTTTGATCTTATGTTTACTTTTGTAGAGGGAATTAAGGATGGATGGAATAAATTTTTTTCTTTCTTTTCTTTTTTTTTTGAGATGGAGTTTCGCTCTTGTTACCCAGGCTGGAGTGCAATGGCGCGATCTCGGCTCACCGCAACTTCTGCCTCCTGGGTTCAGGCAATTTTCCTGCCTCAGCATCCTGAGTAGCTGGGATTACAGGCACGCACCACAATGCCCAGCTAATTTTTTGTATTTTTTAGTAGAGACGGGGTTTCACCATGTTGACCAGGATGGTCTCGATCTCTTGACCTCGTGATCCACCCGCCTCGGCCTCCCAAAGTGCTGGGATTACAGGCTTGAGCCACTGTGCGGGGCCGCTCAAGTAACTTTTTTGCCAAAAAAATTTTTTTAGTGATGGAGTCTTGCTCTGTTGCCCAGGATGAGTTAACCTGCTGGATTCAAGGATCCTCCTGCCTTAGACTCCCAAAGTGCTGGGACTAGAGGCACATACTACCACACCCATCTGAAAATTCAAATTTTGAGTCACATTCTCGCAACATTGCTTTCTCTCTTCTTTCTTTTCTCTCCTTCCCTCCTTCTCTCCCTCCCTCCCTTCCTCCCTCCTTTCTTCCCTCCATCCCTTCTTCCCCCTCTCTTCTTCTTTCTTTCTCCCTTCCTCTCTTCCTCCCTTCCTCCCTCTCTCCCTCCCTCCCTTCCTTCCTTCCCTCTCTCTCTTTCTCTCTTTCTTTTTTCTTTTTTTTTTTTTTGGTGCTAGGATCTCACTCTGTCACCCAGGCTGAGTGGTGGGATCATAGCTCATTGCACTCAGCCTGGCCAGCAGAACTCTTGATATGTAATATTTGGACACTAGACATGGAGTCCACAGGACAATTTTATGAGGAAAGCTCTATGATTTATCTTCAGTTTACAGAAGAGCAATGTTAGAAAGTTTCCAAATTTTAGGATGTGTTATTTTGTATATCACTTTCTTTTTTTTTGAGAGGGAGTCCCACTGTGTTGCCCAGGGTGGAGTGCAGTGACATAATCTCAGCTCAACTGCAACCTCTGCCTCCTGGGTTCAAGCGATTCTCCTGTCTCAGCCTTTCCAATAGCTGGGATTACAGATGCATGCCACATGCCCAGCTAATTTTTATATTTTTAGTGTAGGCAGGGTTTTGCCATGTTGGCCAGGTTGGTTGTGAACTCCTGACCTCAGGTGATTCACTCGCCTTGGCTTCCGAAAGTGCCGGGATTATAGATGTAAGCCACCGCACCCAGCCTGTGTATCACTTTCTAATTATCTTTTTTTTTTTTTTTTTTTTTTTTTTGACGTTGAGTCTTCCTCTGTTGCTCAGGCTGGAGTGCAGTGGTGCAATCTCAGCTCACTTCAACCTCCACTTCCTGGGTTTAAGAGATTCTCCTGCCTCAGCCTCCCGAGTGGCTGGGATTACAGATGCTTGCCACATGCCCAGATAATATTTGTATTATTATTATTATTATTTTAGTAGAGACGGGGTTTCACCATGTTGGCCAGGATGGTCTCAATCTCTTGACCTCGTGATCCGCCCGCCTCGGCCTCCCAAAGTACTGGGATTACAAGCGTGAGCCACCGCGCCTGGCCAACATTTGTATTTTTAGTAGAGATGGGATTTCACAGTGTTAGCCAGGCTGGTCTCAAACGTCTGACCTAAGATGATTGCCTGCTTCAGCCTCCTAAAGTGCTGGGATTACAGGTGTGAGCCAGGGTGCCTCACCTACAATCAGGTTCTAATCCTCCTGTTAAAAATCTAATTTAGGACTGGGCATGGTAGCTCGTGCCTGTAATCGCAGTACTTTGGGAAGCTGAGGTGGGTGGATCACCTGAGGTCTGAAGTTTGAGACCAGCCTGGCCAACATGGTGAAACCTCATCTCTACTAAAAATAGAAAAATTAGCTGGATATGGTGGGAACCTGGGAGGCAGAGGTTGCGGTCAGCCAAGATCTCACCACTGCACTCCAGCCAGGGCAGTAAGAGCAAAACTCCATTTCAAGAAAAAAAAAATTCTGTTTTTATTATCATGTTTAAGTAATTACAATTTATATTTTTCTTCTTTGATTGAAACTGTTGAAATGAATGTTCTGATTAATTTATGTCTGATATCTTTTCTCCTCTACTTTTGATAAGGCCTCTAAATATAACTTCAGAAATTTTATATATGCCAAAGTAAAAAGTGGTGTTTTTTTTTTTTCACTCCAACCTAAGTCATCATACTAGTATAAAAAGTGGTGTTTTTATGATTGTTTCTATGCGACTTGTTTTAAAGCTTTTAAAAAACTTTTTCCCCTTTTCCTTCGTCCTACAACTACAATCCAATACATACTAAATCTTAGTTGACCAGGAAAAAGAATCCTGTAGATTGAGAATCAAGGTTTGTATTTTTTTTTTCATTTCAAGTTTTAATCAAAGCTTGTATAAAAGATTCCTTTATTCCTGCATCTTCTCAATTGTTTGTTCCTTGTGTTTGCCCTTTTCCTTTTCTGCTTGGTGAGATTTGGCTTTCTGTTCAAGAGACTTTTTGTGGTCTTTGTCCAGTTTTAGCCTAGTGATAACCACCTTGTTGGGGTGAGTGCCTACATGGACAGTTGTGCCATTAGTCTTTTCCCGCTGCACTCATTCAATGTAGATGACATATTTCTTCCTGTAAACCTTTGCCAATTTGCTGACCTTTAGAGTGTCCTTGTACAATGTGAACTTCATCAAAACCTTTCAGATGGGCATGGATCACACGTTTTACTTCTGTCTCAGCTCTTTGGAAAGAGGGAAAGACAGTCTTCCTGCGAATGTGGAAAGGTGCATTGAAGTGCCTTTTGTGGTTCTTGCTTTGGTTGGAAGTCACAAAGGCATTGAACTTGATTTTGGCTGCTCCTGCTTCCATCATGGCCGCAAAAGGGAAGATAAGGGTTTGTATTTTTAAGGAAGGTCTTGACTGAGTGCGATGGCTCAGCGAAGTAATCCTAGCTCTTTGGGAGGCCAAGACTGGTGGATCACC